GAAATTTAGATACATCCAGTGTTAATTTTTCAATTAAAATTTACTGTGCGGATGCTGCACAATTTATATATCTTTTCTGTGCGGCAAATAAAAAAAAAACGAGAAAATATTTGCAACTGTGCGCACTACTTGCAAAATGACAATTTTACTGTGGTATCCGCACATCTATTCGCACAGTGAAAAGTTATCACTGGGTGCGTCAATTATTTGACCCATAATTAAAAATTTTACATGTGACATATCATGTGATTGTTAGGTAATGTCTATGTCACTTCAGCAGATTAATTGATTTAAATTAGCCAATCAGAAGAAAATTTGAATTGTGATTGGTGATATCGATGTTAAGATCTATAAATTTTATCGTTTTTTTGAATTTTAATTTTGTTTAAGATGTTAACCTCGAAAGCCCTTTTACGAAATTTGATACCGTTAGGGACGGGTAGGATACAATCTATCTTGATATTATTTACTTCTTAGCATTTAGTCTTGATTATTTTTGTAGGAAAGCAACATCAACTTTTTTCAGCAGTTCCGAAACAGAAGGCACAACAAGCAAAAGCAAAAACAAAGGAAGGTGAGCCGTGGTTAGTTTTATTTTGCTCTTTCGTTCGAATTTTTTTTCGATATAACCTATTATCGCCTCTTCGAATTTCTTCGAATTTCTTCAATTAATTCGATAAACTTTTCGAGTCCATGTGGTTACTGAGTACTGCCTTCGTATCTACACTTTAATAACTATGTTATCGCTGCCTGATTATTAAATCCCGTAATATTCTATTGACGATATAATAGAACTTAGTATCCAGTACCCATCAAGACTCAAAATTTATAATCGCACTAATTCGAAAGAGCGATTATCAAAAGTTTCAATCATACTTAACCTTTATTTTTAGATGTATCTGCTCCTTCTCAATTCACCCTAAGGTACAACCAGGCGCGAGGTCTGGCTACTGAAGGTAGAACTACTATCACTCCAGACTCGTCACCTGCAAGTGTCGTAAAAAAATCATTTCCTGGCGATTTCGCTCTTGCTCAACCTGCCAACACCGCCGGTATTTTCCTTTATTATCCCATATCAATTGTTATTACGAATCTTTATATATAACAATTACATTTCTTTCCCCAGAATACGTGTTGTCAACTATAGATAAAGTGGTCAATTATGCTCGCCAAGGCTCTATTTGGCCAATGGTAACTATCTGAAGGTAAGGTCTCAGGGACGAATAATTTTATATCATAAATTAACACCTTTTTTTTTTTTATTGGCACATATATCAGACTTTCGGTTTAGCCTGTTGTGCCGGTAAATTTTTGCTTAATTCATTCCATATCTTCAGTCAACTCCTTCAAGAGTGTAGCGTCACTTAAAAGATTTTTTATTACGAACATTGTAGTCGAAATGATGCATATGGCAGCGGCGAGATATGATCAGGACCGTCTTGGAATTGTTTTTCGAGCCTCTCCACGTCAATCAGACGTCATGATAGTCGCTGGCACTTTAACTAATAAAATGGCGCCCGCATTGAGAAAAGTTTATGACCAGGCAAGTATTTACTTGACCTTCTCATCTTCTTCTGTAATTGAAGTACACCATATAACAATGCCTCTGCCGTTGGTGGACATCCTGGAACGTAAATATCAACAGGTACAATTCTGTCGCAACTGGGTAAAATGAATAATATATAAGTAATGACGATTTTAATGAAGAAAACCATTTGAATTTTCAATATTTACCCTCTAACAACACTGTAAGAATAATGGTAATATCCACCACCATTTGCACATGAACCCATAGAAATAACCCAACGAGGTTCGGGCATCTACTCGAGTAGATGCCCGAACCTCGTTGGGTTATTTC